GTCCTAATATTTATGACTGACCTCCCCAGAGCTACTTGACCTGTTTTGGAGTTTTGACAGCCATGCACACACATGCACACACACTCCCTTCTAATCCTGCTGGAGCAGGTCATTGGACTAGAATCAGCAACGCATCTCTGATTAGATTCTAGTAGTGAACAGAATCTAAATCAGAGATGCTTTGCTGATTCTTGTTCATTTGTTTTATGTCCGAGTGGAGTGGTGTACCAAATCAATGGGGTGAGCCTGAGAGAAGGAAAGAGAAAGAGAGGAAAGAAAGAGAGAGGGAAAGAGAGAGAGAGAAGAGAGAAGGAAGAAAAGGGAAAAGGGAAAGAAAGAAAAAGGGACAAAGAAAGAGTGGTGGATGGAGGGAGAGACAAAGACAGAGAGAGAGACCTGATGCATCAGATTGAAATGAGGTCTAGTTTAGAGGCCCTTTCCCACATTGAAACATCTTTGCCAGCATCTTTGCCAGCACATTGAAACATCTTTGGCTTCTATTAATTAAAGGTTTTGTGGACGAAACATGGCCAAGACTATCAGGAAGCTCTCACATTTTGTTGAGGCTTTAAACAGGATCCATTGGACCAGTGCCAATTCTGAAGACGACAAAACCAAAATGTACTGGTAAATTACAAGAACACACACACACACACACACACACTCCCTTCTAACCCTGCTGGAGCAGGTGATTGGACTAGAATAGATATCTCATTATATTTCTCCTCCCTCCCTCCTTCTTTATTTCTTTTTCTTTCTGTCCCTTCCTTCCACCCCCCCACCTTTCTTTGTCTGCCCCGTTTTCTTTCTGTCCCTTTTCTCTTTCTTTTCTTTCTCTCTCTCTCTTTCCCTCTCTCAGGTTCACCCCATTTACTGATGCATGCTCCGGTGCAAGGGCTTAATGGGGTAAGCCTGCGGGGCCTCGCCTTGAACGCAGCTGCAGTGGGACATTTGAAAAGGAGAGCAAAGCGATTCTGGCTTTCCTCCACTTTTCAAACATCCTGCCACCACTGAGTTCAAGGCAAGCACATCAGGAAAGCAGAGGAAAGCCAGAAAGCACATCAGGAAAGCGGAGGGAAGCCAGAGTGGTTTTGCTCCCCTTTTCAAACATCCCGTAGCTGCTGCATTCAAGGAAGGCATGTCCGGAAAGCGAAGGAAAGCCAGAGTGGCTTTGCTCCCCTTTTCAAACATCCC